AACATACCAAAGTATCGTTGCTGATCAAGTTCATCCTATCATGTTGATGGCGTATCCCAATGGAGATGGCTTCTTCCAACAAGACAATGCGCCATGCCACGGTGCTCGTATTGTGCAGGAGTGGTTTCAAGAACATGAGGGAGACTTTACCTTGCTTAGGTGGCCCCCCACAATCACCAGATCTCAATCCAGTTGAGCATTTGTGAGACGAAGTTGAAAGAGCCATTAGACAGCTGGTTCCACAACCATCAAATCTCACAGAACTGGACACTGCTATTCATCAGGCATGGTGTCAGGTTCCTCGCATCCAGGCAAGGATTCCCCACAAGGCCACCGAGGCCCGGCCTCGGGGTGGCAGGGCGCAGAGGTGCGGCATCGGTGGGGAAGTTGCACTCTCTACATTTGCACAAGCAGGACTAAATGTAGAGTGAGGCAGCCGATTTTTCGTTTACATAATCGATCCCGGCTCCCAGCAAAGTCTCCCTGTGTTTCCTCTGTAAGAAACCTCTATAATGGATCCACAGCACACCAGCACACCTTGAGTTGGCTTAACACAATTTACTTTCAATGATAAAAGAAATGGCAATATATACATATATGTATAGGAATACACTTTATATAATTAACCCCTTCATTACTGAGCTTGTTTTTAGTTTCTGTTTGCTGTGTGATTCTTCCATGGCAGTAATATACTTTCTTACAAAGTGCACCCACATATATTATATATTGTTTTTTAGAGGACAGATAGGGCTATATATTTATGTCACATTTTTTAGAAAAATAGCACAGCTAAAAAAATGCATTAAATACATTCATTTATTTGGAAAAACCTCATGTTCCTAGGATTTTAGAAATGTTTCTGTACTTCTCAGCCCAAAACTAAAACCTAACATTTTTATCTTTTTTCTCTTAAAGCTAAAAGTGGTCACCTGGCATACAATGTCACTGTCACCAAGGGGTCTATTCACAAAATATTTGTTACATTTATTTTTTTATTTTACAATTTATTTATTTTTTTACACTTTTTACTATTTTTTAAAACATTTTTGACACCTCTATTTTATTTATTTAATTATATCAAGCCTTGACTTATTTTTTACAGATCTTTTCTGATCATTCCAACAACGATCAGAAAACCTTCAACATTGTAGCAGCAATAAAAACATGTAGCTAAATGTTTCTATTGCTGAAAGACTAAGTGTCACTTAGTGACAGCGACATACTTTGAACATCAATGTCATGAGGGGGTTAATGAAAAAAATTAACCCCTCAGGGTGAAAAACAAATCTGCAGCTCAAGATCTTTTCTGATCATTCCAACAACGATCAGAAAACCTTCAACATTGTAGCAGCAATAAAAACATGTAGCTAAATGTTTCTATTGCTGAAAGTTTAGGGGAAAGTTTAGGGGGAAAAAAGATGGTATTCATCGGGAAAGAGATCGGGTGTCTGAAAAAGCTTAACTCTTTCACTAATGGATGCCTCAAAACCAGCCTTACAGAACCCCAAATAGCTAATCACGTACAGTGTACGTGAGCAGTCACTTCGTGGTGGGACGTACAGTTTGCATCTCCCCTCACTTCAAACTGTATGGAATATTCAATTATAAAGGTGACTATGGGGGTGATTTACTAACCTAAACACACGCACGCACCAGGTGCGTGTGATTTTTACACATCAAAGCGTATTTATCAACCAAAAAGTCTCTATAAGCATGTTTCCACTAATGCCATATATGGAAAAATCATGCACATGATGCATATATAATGCTGCTTCTCAGTTTAGACAAAAATGGTTAGCTCATGCATTTACATTCCTGCATTCATCAACGCAAGCAACACAATGTAGAGCTAATTTACACAACATCACCTTGCAATTCAGGGCAGGGCTTTGCACAACACACCTGCTGGGTGTGTACACACTACAAAGGTGTTTAGATTCCACCTATAGATCATGCTGGGTTCGTGGTGTGTTTATAAGGTTAGTAAATCAACCCCACCATATCAGCAATGGATGTACTGACAACAGCCCTTTCTCAGTCTCAAGGTACCCTGGTACCTAACCACCTGGCCAGTGGTTTAATTTTTGGCTAGTCAACGGTGGGGCCCAATATATGTAGTTAACAGATTCAGTGTTTGGTAAGTAAGCATAGGCCAGAGGCCTCTCGTCCGCCCCGGAGGGAGAATTCTCATCAGGGGTGTCCCGTACTGTTATTAGATGTCTTCCAGAGGAGACATCGCTCAATAGTGAGATGAAACAGCAGGCCCTGCAGTCAGACGAGGATCCGGTCATCGGCATCCATCCGTCACAACAGAATCACCGCCCACGATCATTGCACAGTATGGAGTGTCACCCGGCAGGCTATCCTGACCAGTTGTTCCCTCGCTCCAGCAAACAAGTAGACAGGGACACAGCCATGGCAAGAAGGCACAGTCCCAGCAATACACTGTATCCAGCAGCTCTGTTCACACTGCCTGTTCTGCTGCCCTTTAGACATGTGCGATTAGTTTCGTTACGAATCAATATTTGTACGAATTTTCCTGAAATTCGTAAATTGGGAAGCATCCAAAATCCAAATTGCAGTTTACGAATTACTGCTGAGGGTTGCATTACAATACAGGCAGGAAATACGAAATTCCGTTAACGGAATTTCGTTCCGTTACGAACATTCGTTATGATGAAGTTAAAAAGCAAAATACCTTTGTTAATATTGGAGTTGATGAGTTTTTTTTTATCTGAAATACGAAATTCGGATCCGAAATCCGTTAACGGAATTCGTATTTCGTTTGGTTGACCAATCAGAGGTTTTCTCTTCTGCTGCTGAGGGTTGCATTACATATCTAGGTAAGGTATTTTTTCTTTTTGACTTCATCATAACGAATGTTCGTAAAGTTACGAAAATGTGCCGAAACTAACGAAAATTTGTATTTGGTATGAATCCGAATTGAGTTTCGGACACGAATTAAGAAATACGAAATAACGGATATTTCCGAAACGAAACAAATTTTTTGACGGTGCACAAGTCTACTGCCCTTTGCGTGCGGAATGAATCTAGATGTTCTCCTCCATCCAGAGTACACTCTCTTTTTCTCCCACAGCACTGTACTGGGACGTGTATTCTATAACAGCCAGTCCAGCAGGCATCTTCCTCAGCAAAGCACTCACGCCCCATAAGTCTCTGTTTGCAGAAGCCCCGGTCAGTTGCAACATTAGGTCAGTCTTGAATGAGCCTGCTTCACAACAGTGCTACACTAGATATGTTGTTTAAAATGTTGTATTGTTTGATTGTCAGGCTGAGCATCCTGTTTAGGAGAAGCAGCAGCCATTCAGCTAGAGACCAGAGTAGGACAGGCCTGGAACTGACCCCCTTACTGAAAGGCGGACAAACAGACACAGAGGAAGAGGAACTCAGGGCCAAGGAAAAGCTGCCTCAAGGCTGATAAGGAAGGTGAACTGTCCAGCTAGGAAGTACTACCGTGAGCTATGTGCAGAGCAATCTGTCTGTGAGGAGGAAAGCTGCAGTGTACAGAGCTTGGAGAGGTTGTGCTGTGTGCAGAGCAGAGAGAGCTGAGCTGTGGTACTGTACCAAGTTCTGCAAGCAGTAAAAACAACCCAACAAAATCTGACAGGGACTTGTGCTGAGGACTCTTTAGAGAGAGAAAGCACAGACTTGGGAGGGGAGTCCCGCAGTGTGGCATGACCTTTCACCTTGTCATTGGCAAGGATGCATGGATTAACTGCTGATCAAAGGACACTTATCCAACAGCAGGGATGAGAGGGCTCTAATCACCCTTTTACGGTTCCATCTTATTGCCTTTGTGGGAATTTAACTGCTGCTAGCAGGGTTAATCTAGTTCTCCTTCATGGTTACATTGCATTGTACCTATTTTGCATTGATCTTGCGCCAGTGTATAGTATCCGCTTATTGCTGTTATGTTTGCAGTTTTTTTTACTAAACTTCCACGGCAGGGCTTTCTTTCCTTTTTAAATGAAGCACACTTTGGGCTACTGGTGTGCCAGTGAGTGCTGGGTTCAGTTCGCAGCAGGTCACTTCTAACGGATGACAGGAGGACCTGTCTATCCAGCAGCACTCCAGGGAGTTATCACCACATATACACACAGTATATATTGCCAGGTAAAAGCCATAAGTCATGACTGCAAAAAGGAAGCTTTCTGTACTAACAAGGCCAGTAAAGAAAACAATCATGTAGAAAGTATGTTAGCAACGGGCATCTGATAAAATAAACCCAAACATTTAGTCAGGAATTGCTGCTGCTCCCTGCAACTACCCTCTTTCTCCTGTTTGAAATAAGCAATGATTCTTCATCTGAAGTCTTACCTCCTTTCAGGTTTATATTAGTATTGTTAGGCAAAAAAAATGTAGTAGTACATCTCACTGGAGAGGACAGTTAACTGTCCTCTCCAGTGATATCCTGGGTATTGCTAAGTACCCGAAATCTTGTGAAAGGCACTATAGCACAGCGCAGAGCATCTTGTCATGAGATTTCTGGTAATCAGCTTTCCCCAAGATCTCATCAGAAGGATGATGATGTCACTTTTACCTACGATAGGTAGAAGCCGGGATAAGGTAAGTATGATTACCAATCTTTTTCTCCACAACAATTTTTTTATGTATGATTTTGCCATGGGGGTGTGAATAAATAAGGGGACCTTGTTTTTCATAGTGCAAGATCCACTTTAAGTTTTTGTGCTGTCTGCCATTTGTGTATTATGTTTGCGTTACAGAGGTAGTGGACACTCTGTGTAACCAGGTGAATTAGACCCTAAAGAGGGCCTGAAGGAGTCTAAGGAACTGTCTGGTGTTCACCAGAGCACTCAGCAAGCAATGATGGGACACGTTGCAGGTGGTTCCCAAGTTACACTGGGGGTGGCAACAGCTGACAGCAGGCAGAAATGAACCATGGTGCAAAACCAGCAGGCAAGATCATAGTCAAAACTGGTAAAAGGTCAGGTCAGGGCAGGTGGATAACCAGGATCGCTGAGAAACAGGATAGTGATTCACAGAAGATTACACAGTGGAAGTGTTTCTTAGAACCTGCAGTCACAAGCACTGTGATAATATTAAAGTGGAATTGAACTGTGGAGGCTGTGCCCCAAAAAGGCAAGCAGATGGCCAAGGACTAGTCACCATAATTGCCCGTTATTCTTCCTGCAGCTGATGTAAATAAACATTGATGTAATGCATTTTATGATTGGATGGATATTAAGTAATTAATAGCAATGACCAACAATGTTATAGTTTGATTTTTTTTCCATGATATCCAGAGACTGTAAAACCTACCCCCCTCCCGCCCCTACCAACACACACACACATGTGTTTAATTAAAGCATATCTAATTGTAACCTACTCACAGACGTTGCTGTGTCAGTTCGTCTTCAAACCTTATTCAGACTTGAGCAGTATAATGCTCCACTCGCATCACCTGTTCCTCCTCACTATCGTCCATTCACAAAATGTCTTGTATTAAAAAAAAAAAATACAAGACATTCTGTGATTAGAGGAGGAAAGGAGGGGGCAGGGATGTGACTCCCTCTCCCTCTCTTTAGTGCCTGGAAGCTGGGTGTTGTGTGTAGGGGATGGCATGCTGCAAGGAACCACCACCATAAAGGTACCCCAAAATTATTCCTTGAAGGCATCTCAGAGTATCGGTAGAGATAAAGTGGTGTCATTTTCTGAACAGTACTATATAATTCTATATGGTAATCTAATTTGTAATCTGATCTGCAAGGGTGAACATTATTGGGAGCCTCCAGCAAAAAGTGATAACCTTAGGGGTGAGTGATTGCAGGGAGACAAAAAGGGGGAGATGTTCAACTGCACCAATCTCGGGCAGCAAAAAGAATGTGCAAAACTAGTGATATATGTGTGAGAAGTTGTTTTAAGTGTCTAAGTAGCAAGAAAATGTACTGGGTGCCTCCATCTCCATACATTGTAGTTACAATACAATTCTAGCAATATGGTTAGGAGGGCTCTGTCCTTGAGAGCTTCCAAACAAAATGGCACATATAGTATAATAGCAACACTATGCAGAACAAGATGAAGAGTGCTTTCTTGAGCCCTGCTGCTGGTGGTCAATTTTTCACTGTCCAGGGCACTGGATGTGACCTGTCCTCCACCACGGATGCCTTTACCCAGGTTACCACAAGGCATACCTGCCCATTCATTGCTGTGTAGGTCCCAGAATGGGAGTTGTGTCAGATTAGGGACCACACTATAAAGAGATCCTTGATAGGGCAGTGTAGCTTCCACATAGATTTGCTGAAAATATATGCTACGCATGCCTATGTTTTTAATACATAGATGAACATTTTTCAATAGCAGACAGAATCCTGAGCCGTTTGCCATGGCAACCAATCAACTTCTATCTTTAATTTTCAAAGTTTAACTGAACAGACAATTGCTCCAGATTCTGCCAGCTACATTTTTCATAAATTCACCCATAGTGTTTAAGGAGTGCTGCTTTAGGTTTGTGCAGTGCAGCTTTTGGCTGCCCACTCTGCTACTTTTATTTTGGGCAATACAAGATGTTGAACATTAGTTACTATCACCAGGACCGCTAAAATATTTATGCTATTGTTTTCCATTTATTATAAATGGAAAACAATAGCATAAAGCAGAGCATGTTCAGCTGACCAAAGTGCGACTGCAGCCAGCCGATGTACGGCTGTTTTCAGCCGATGTACGGCTGAAATCAGCCGTACAAACCTGAAGTGAATAGCCGAACTTCGGGTGGGTTATTCACTCGGCTGCCTTCGGCAGCTTTGTGAATAACCCTGTAAGTGTTGAATTGTTTTTTTTTTTTGACTGGCTGTTAGGTGTGCTAAAAATATGCAACTTGCTTTAAAAAGTTAGTTATTGTTTGCTAGGACATACTGGGGGTCTTCAACTGCTTTATGCTATAATGTTCCTCTGCACCTTTATGGAGGAATTGGGTTCCCTCCAGGCATATCTGCCTCTAATCTGCATATACCTGTGTATGTCCAAGGATGGTAGTTTTGTTAGGTTAGGAACCACACTATACAGATGTACCTTGACGGGGCAGTGCAGCTTTCACATAGATTTGCTGCAAATACTGTATATGGTACTAACATCTCTGTTTTTAATACAAACTGTTAAAGGAGTGTGGGCTTTGTCTGCTTTAGATTTGGGTGGTGTCACTATTGGCCCACATGGAACAAGTTGCAATATCAATTTTGATGGAAAAGTTGGGGGGAGAAGCATGGGGGAAGGAAATATCATGAACTCACTTTTTGACAGAATGAGTTTTAAGAAGAGTTGTGACATCCATACTGACATGTCAGTTAGAAAATTTGTGACACACAAGGACACTTAAGGAGTGAGTTGTGCAGTGGAGAGATATATTTGAGTGTTATCGGCGTAGAGATGGTATTTGAAGCTATGCAAGGTTACCAACTGACCAAGGAAGGATGTGCAGATAGTGAAGAGAAGGGGTCAGATTTTGGGTGAAATAAAGGAGTGCTTAGATAGGTAGGAGGAGAACCATGAGTTTTTTGAGGCTGGTGGTCAACTATGTCAAGAGCACCAGAAAGGTCTAATAACAAGAGTAAGGAGTAGTGGCCATTGTTTTTTTTAGCAGTTAGTAAGTCAATAGGGAGTTTCATAACTAAGGGCAGTCTCAATTAAGTGTTGGGGGTGAAAGCCGGACTGTAAGGGGTCGAGGAGGTTTTTGGGATGGGGTGACTGGTGCAGGTTTTAGAGAGGAGGGGAAGATGCCCATAGAGAGGGAAATATTGAAGGTTGGTGACAGGGTGAGCACAATACTGACAAGGTTGTGGTTTGAGAGAGAAAAAGGGGTGTTGGAGAAGTTGCAAAGAGTGCATAGGCTAGAGGACACAAGGTCTAGCATATTGCCATCAGAGTGAGTAAGAATGTGTGTCCATTGTGTTAGGTTAAAAGAAGATATTGAGTTGAGAAGTTGCGTGGCAGCCAGGGTGTTAACGTTAATAGCAATGTTAAAGTCACCAATAATGATGGTGGGTAATTCAGAGGAGAGAAAGTTGGGTAGCCAGGCAGAAAAGTAATCAAGAAAGCAATATACTGGTCCAGTAAGCCGATAAATTAAAGCAATCCTCAGGGAAAGTGGAGAAAATAGGTGAATACTGTGGGCTTCTACATAGGAGAGGGATAGAGAGAGAGAGAGGCGAAGGCCACCATGGGAGAGGGCAACAGGAAAGGCAGAATGAAATTCCTGAAGCCAAATTTCAGCAAGCATATTAAAGGAATTAGAAATAAAAAGATCATGTACAGCAGTGCTTTTTACAGAGAGAGCAGGCATTCCACACGGCACATAAGAAGGGGGGACTAGTTCTAGGAAGCAGGGGAGTAGAAATTACGGTGTGTGGATTGCGTGGATAGCAGTGAGTTTTTTACAGACAGAGCAGGCATTCCAGAGAGCTCAAAAGAAGAGAGGTTCTAGAAATCAGGGGAAACGAAATTAGGGTGTGTGGATTGTAGTTGCTGCCAGAGGAAAGGCAGGGCTGGTTAGGGGGGGGGTGAATATTAGAAAACAGAGGGCCAGGATTGGGAGAAATATCCCTAAAAGTACGGAGTAGTAAGTAAGGAGAAGCAGAAGGGTGAGTGAAGTGAGATGAGACCGAGTTTTATATGAGCACACATGCCCCAATGTTCTGGCGGTAACCCTAACAAGTGGGTTCAGAATGAGCAGGAGGTGGTAAGACCAGTAAAAGGGGGTAGTCATGAGAGAGGGTGAAATATATCAACTGTGGGGTAAAGGAAAGAATGTTTAAGAAGAGAAGACACAATCTTGAGAAGCAATGGTTGAGATGGATGGAGAGTAGTAATCAGGTTTAGAACTAAGAGAAGTGGACAGGGAAAACAGGATCACCTGCAGTCTGTCAGGAGGACTCTTAGTATATGTTTCTGCCTTGTTCAAGTGCCTTATCTAAGTGCCGTGACACTTGTATTAAAATAGACACTTTGATTTAAATAGACAAAAGTGACAATGCTACCTGCCTTCCCCCAAGAGCACATCTAAATGTATAGGACTAATGGGTGGGGGAATGTCTGCCAATTAATAAATTAGGACATGATAAAAGGCGCATGGGATGAATGAGCAAACTTCTCACACAGGCATGCAAGCAAGACAGGCATAGGCCTTTTAAACAAACAAAACAGGAAAGTGAGTATATATCAATACTATAGACATCAAATTTACAGCTGCAGATCAAATCTGAATGCCACAACAGAGGGTTGTAGTATCAAATAGAAGTTCATACAGGGTGGAGCAGAAATGGGATCTGAATACCTTGGAAGAGGGTTTTAGCAGCAGATAGAAGTCCATATGGGGTGGAGCAGAAATTAAATCTAAATTCTATGAAAGAGGTTTGTAGCAGCAGATAGATGTTCATACAGGGTAGAGCAGAAATTAAATTGAAATACCTGTGTGGAAGAAGAAAAGTGATGATGAGACGATGAAATCATTATATGCTACCTTTTAAGTGCCCTGACACTTAAAATAGACACTTTGATTAAAATAGACATAGTAAAAGTGCCAATGCCCCCTGCCAAATGTGAAATTTGAAATGTGAACAAGATGGCTGTCCCCTCATGACCAATGGCAATCATAGACCTGGAATTAGCTCCAGGAAAAGAAGGCCTAGGAGGTGTATGGTGTACTCTGTTAATTATGAAGCCTGATAACAGCATCAGGTTATTCAGGGCATCCTTGAGCCACATTTCAAGCAATCATTCAGGATTCTGCCTCTCTGTCCAGTTTTCCAGTGGGGCAGGTTCTCTAAATTATCCAGCTTAGCTTATAGGTTTGACATGGGACTGTATGACATTTGGGATAGGGTACACTAAATCTTAAGTACCTACTCCGTCCTTGGTTATCATTGTCCGGCCTCACAGCTTCTGCACGTCACGTTGTAAAAATAAAAGTTTTATTTGAAATGTGTCCATCTTGGTGGTCAGGGATGTCGTACAGCCTCCAAATTTGTGAGAGAGTAGTTTCTGCGCATGTGGCCAGAGGGCTTCTCAGGGTGCTGGTGTGTTTCCCTCAGACCATCTAGGACAGAGGTCAGACTTCAGGGAACAGGATTGCTTACTCAACTGGGTCATGCCTCACGCGTCATCACACAGAAAAACTTCAGGGCCTCGTGTTGGAGCCTTCTTGGGTGCATGGGAAGCAGACAAGCTTTTTAAACTTGCCTTGCCTGATATTCACCATGCTGTCAGAACGCGGTGGTGCTGTAGTGCTGGATGACCTGAGGTAGATTAAGAGGCAGGACAACAGGATGTGGGGTGAAAGCTGTAGCTGTGCTGTTTAGCATCTTCCCATCCAGGCCCTGCCCCCCCATATTTTTTTCAAAACTGTAAAACAAGGCGCAATTCAGATCTTAATACTCATTTTAGGCTTGATGCTCGCATAAAATTAATGTTGAAGAAGCATGTAGAATAAGCACACCTCTCCCTAAAACGAATCATTTCTAAAAGTTTTTTTACAATGCCTCAGTGCAAGCTTCATTTCTCGATTTCGGAAACTGTAGATAAGAGGATTCAGCATTGGGATAACCAATGTGTACACTACTGAGATGATCTTGTCTTGTTGTAAAGAATATATTGAGCTTGGTCTAAGATACATAAAGAGGATTGTGCTGTAGAAAAGAATAACGCAAATAAAATGAGAGCCACAGGTGGAGAAAGCTTTGCGTCTTCCCTGTACAGAACAACTTCTAAAAACAGCACGTAAAATAGAAGCATAGGAGATAAATATGACAATAATAGAGACAACTGATACAAGGGATGCAAATGTTGACAGAATAAGCTCATTTGTAGAAGTATCTGTACAGGAGAGCTTTAGCAATGGTGGAATGTCACAAAAGAAATGATCAATTTGGTGAGAGCCACAAAATGAAAGGCGAAATACGCAGCCTGTCTGTATTAAAGAATGAAGAAAGCCACCAATGTAAGATCCACTCAATAGCTTAAGACATTTTCCTTTAGTCATATTCCTTAGATAGAGAAGTGGATTACATATTGCTACATAGCGATCGATTGCCATTGCCGCAAGAAGAAAACTCTCTGTACTTCCAAGGGCAACAAAAAAATACAATTGGCAAGCACATCCAAGGTAAGATATACTCTTTTCTGCTGAAACCAAGTCAGTCAGCATTTTTGGTGTAATACCTGAGGAGTACCAAAGATCAATGAATGCTAGGTTAGAAAGGAAGAAGTACATGGGGCTCTGAAGATGGTCATTTGTCAATATAAGCACTATAATTCCGAGATTTCCAAAAACAGTGACCAAATACATAGACAGAAACAGTGCAAAGAGCAGAAAGATTGGTGTGCTTTGTTCACCAAATCCTAGGAAATAAAATGTATTTGTCTGATTGTAAGAATGGTGGCCAAGGACACCTGTTAACATTGGTGAAACATTATTGTAGACATAAGATAATTATGAGACCATAGACTGACTGGTGTAAATGTGCTCTATGTTAAGTACTACGTAAATCAGCGCTATATAAAATACCAATACTAAATACATAACTTTCATAAAAATGTCACTGTACACCTAAAGCCAACACTTTTTTAGATTTGATTAAAGTGAAGAAGGGACATTTTCCAATGGGTACAAAAGTTCTGGTGTCAACTGTCTAAGATGGGATCTCCTTCACTTCGGCAAGATTTCCTCTCATTTCCTGTTGGGAAAGAATGAAGTGAAGGGAAATCTACCCAAATAAACACAAAAAGCAAAAAATAAAACTGATAGGGGTAATAACCCTCCCCTAATCAACAAAAAACAAACAAACAAGGTTTTGTCTTTAGTTACACTGTAAAGCTTAGACATTTAACCAACCCTAAATACTGAGAGACAAAAAACAAAAAGGAGCGTCTCCATAGTGTAAAACAAATTTTAATGATAAAAACGCACAACTGTATTGTACTTACAAGAAGTAGGTAGTAAAAAGGCATGTAGAAAACAATGGGATGTCAAATCCTCTAGCAGCGGAAGTCTGAAAAGATGTGCATCAGCGTCCACTGCCCCTGTGTGGTCTCGGTCCATTGTTTTCGACATGCCTTTTTACTACCGACTTCTTTAAGTACAATACAGTTGTGCGTTTTTATCATTAAAATTTGTTTAATAACCAATAATAATTGTAACATATGCATTGTGCATCATAGAGAGAAAATACAGCATGTCAGCATTACCAACCATTTTCAAAGTTGTCCATAATGTTACCACATCAGAAGGTAGGTATTAGTAAAAAAAAAACAGCATTAAATATTATTTCTGATTGCAAATACATTTGCAAAAACTCTAGTTTCTGAGTCTCTCTTTTAATTTAATTCCCAATGTTGTATGGCTACTTGTATGCTTGTGTGGAAAGGATATATCAGGCCGCTGCCAACCCTGAATTTAAGACTCTTAACAAAGGATAATATGTATAATTTAGCTTTTTTTTTTTTTTTTTAGATATACAGTATGTGCAAATATAATTATGTCTCTTGGACTAATTATCCAAGAGAGATCAATTATCAATGTCCCTTATGTGAATGAAATAAGCAGTAACATTTTAACACAGTCTACTCATTAATATATCAATATAAAAAATATATATCAAAGGAAGAAACTTGTTGACATCTTTGGCATATTGTGATGGCTTTCTTACAGAAACTTTCAGTAATGCAAGAAAAAAATAAACTATCGTATATGCCATTGATGTGTGATTGGTGCCTAATGTACCAGTATCAGTTACAGAAACTGTTATTCTTTCCACACAGTCACCAATTAGTTTAACCCTTTTTCCATTGTAGGTTTAAATCTGACTGGTGTTTAAGGATGGGTGTAAAATGAACAAGATTAATTAAATTAAACACAGCCAACAGTTTGCTAAATAGTAATAAGAATTTGCTGTGTTAAGATTTATCATTCCACCAGGCTTGTTCTTTTCTCATAAGTTTTAAGAAAAATGTATAAAAATGTGCAACAATCCTTCCAAAAAAGTGAGTTTTTGGTAGTTGTAATTGGGGGTCTTTGGCCCAATACAACTAGGTAATAATGGGCCGAACACAACTGTCGGGTTCAAGACTGGGGGATTTACATATTTTTTATTATGTTATTAAACTTTAATTCTTTTTTTTTTTTACTTTTTCTTTTTTCAGTTTTAGGATCTTTTAGGATGACTAATGCTGGAGTAATCATTTCTTGCAGTTTGTAACATATTCCAGAAGGTGGCAACATTCCATAGAAGCTGTCACAACCTGGCATAGTGCTATCTCTGTAGGCAAAACAAATATCAATTTGTGGTTTTGTCACTCCATAAACACATTACAGTGCATTTACAAGGAGACGTATTTCTATTGTACTGCCACTTTCTGATGACCATAGCTAGTCCTCGTTAGTATAGTGGTAAGTATCCCCGCCTGTCACGCGGGAGACCGGGGTTCGATTCCCCGACGGGGAGGCTACATTTTCAACACGCAGATAATATAATCTTGCTTTTTACCTGTATAACATAACTTCTTACTCTGGTAGTAAGTGTCCTTCCTTTTCACATGAGAGATCTGGATTTTATTTCCTGATTAGGAGTCCAATTCCTTTTTATCTCTTATCAACATGCAATACATATCCTGCATCAAATCAAAAGTGTTTCAAAGCATTTGTAACTATTAAAATTGTGTTTTAAATAAATGATATTTTGGTGCAGCGAACTTTAATAGGTTTTGTACGAAAAGCAATGTATTGCATATGAACATCACAACAGCAAATAACAACTGTTTCAACACTTAATGTAAAAGAAACACTCCCAAAAAAAAAATTATGGCCCGTACGGGGATCGAACCCGCGACCTTGGCGTTATTAGCACCACGCTCTAACCAACTGAGCTAACCGGCCACTTGTTAAGCAACTCCAAATATAGAAAGGAAAAAAAAAAAAACCTGTACCACACTATGGACTGTAATATCTAATGTTCTTATGCTTCGTACTTCATGTGGATACCTTATAATTTCCTTTGCATGAGTAAACACAATGTTAACACACGTATTGAAGATAATAGTTGTGAGTCACATTTACATATTCAGACAAGTATGCAATGATTACATTGAACAGTAATGGTTTTTCTAGATTTAAATGCCTCTAAAAAAAAATGTAGCCTCCCCGTCGGGGAATCGAACCCCGGTCTCCCACGTGACAGGCGGGGATACTTACCACTATACTAACGAGGACTAGCTATGTGCTGCTCAGTGCGTGATCCAGAGGGAAGTGAATGTAATCATTTCTACAGAGTTCGACTCTGGCGGCATTTTCATGTGTGAACGGACCCTAACCCTGCTTATCTGTGTGTTTAACAGCGTTCCCAATGCCAGTGTTGTGTTGGTAAAATGAGTGCTCTGTTGACTTGAAAAATCTATGCTATCTAGTAAAATATGACCCTGATGTCGGGGTCCTTCAGGGTACGGCATCTGCTGAGAGTCTTTTAACCCTCTGCACTCAAGCCATTGTCAGGTTAGCAGTGGTGGAAGGAGCTGGTAATGGTAACAGAGGATGGTGGCAGGCTAGCAGCGGTGCCAAGCGATGGCGATGCTGTGCCAAGAGATGGTATAATAATGTTTTGAGGACCAGATTCCAAGAATTTTTTTTTTGCATCAGCGGCAGTGGTTCTGTACTCATTTCTGATCCAGGACTGACTAATATGACAAAGGGCTGGTTCACACCACAAACTCCGCGTTCCAGTGCAATCGGCCTCTGGAAGGCACTGGAAAGCAAGCCGGCCGGCTCCCTACGTTCAGGTGCGGAAGGGGGCATAGTGGTGCATTGAAGTCAATCATTGAGGGCCGTCAGGGCCGGCCTTAGGGGTGTGCGAGCAGTGCGGCCGCACAGGGCGCCATGGCAACAAGGGCGCTGTGCGGCCGACACATCTCGTCCTGGGGGCGGCTTCTCTCCCCCTCACCGCTGGGCGCTGGCCATCCGATATGACAGCGCTCCCTCGTCCGCCCA